CCTAAACCCTAAACCCTATCATCTGGGCTGTTTCTTAGGACTCTACGATACTCCTGAGGAGTGAGGCTGGTAGCAGATCTCAGGCTTAGGGTTATAGTCCTTCCTAAATAGATAGAATATGGGTAGTTCATAGGGATCATATCAGGATAATGGAAAAGAAAATGGAAACTACAGGGATTATAGGGGTTATATAGGGATTATATAGGGCTTGGGGTTGGGGTTGAGGGAGTTTATAGTCCACCTTAAGTAGATAGAATATGGGGTATTTCGGGATCTTATTACAACTTACCCAGAGCCATATTCTATCTACTTAAGTGGGACTGTAGAGTTGAGGGTTCAGGTTGATTAAAGCCCGATTCGAATCCAGATCTCCAATCCTTGTCGTAGGCAAGGGTGAATACGCACAGCTTGGCCGTGAAGTGAACCAGCAAGACAATGCGGCCCTGCGTGTTCCTGCCGCGTAAAAGCATTGGGCTAAGAGGTTGATTAGAGGTTTTGCGTTTAGGGAATGAAGCAAAGGAGAAGAAAATCATAGATACTTCAATATATAGGAGAAAATACAGGTGCCTCTGTGGGGATTCACCCTTGAATCCTCGCCTACAGCTATGATCCTGGTATCATAGGATTACCGTGACAGGCCTTTATAAACCTTGATAAGCCCTATTTTCCTAATCGTCCTCAATAACCCCTAATAAGATCCTTAGTTTGAAGGGGCTCATATATCGGGGGCCATTAGTCGCCCCATGACATTCAGGATCATACTATGAGCCGAAACCCCCATAAACCCCTGTGTCCCGACTGTTTGCATGGAATTGTCCATGTTCTTTTCAAGTTGATTGGTTATCAATGCAGGCTTGAGGTTCAAACCCAAACAATTGATTGAAGACTTAGGCTTGCATAGGTGAACGGGTCTGAAGAGGTAGGGGACATCTTCTGTGTAGGAAGGAGTTCCAGGGCCTACTTGGAGGGTCAGGGCGACTTCGTAAGCATACGCATACCCGTATAACCCTATAATCCTCATGCTAGCCACAGTAATGCAAATTCCTAACCTACTAACCCAAGTCAGGTCAACAAATCTTAGGATCTCGAATTCATGGAATTCCCCCTGAAACGGTTGAGAAACTAACTTGTCTTCTAAATACTCTTTGTATTAAAAACCCTGCATGGCCTATCATGCTATTCCAAAGCCAGAAGGTACTTGGGGTCATGCAGGATTTTCATGAGTATCCACTTGGATGATCTGAGAATTCCACACGTCCAAATCTTGGCAGTCCAACCCTATCAGCAAGATTCTACCCCGTCTACAGAGTTTAGGGATATTCAGGATTTATACGGTTTGGGGGTTCAAGGTATTGCCCTAATGGTTGAAAAGCTAGTGGAGAATGAGATGGACGGTGGGTTTATGTAGCGCATGACCCCAGGCTGACATGGAGACTTTTTGTTTAGGGCTTTAGGGTTTAGGGTTTAGGGTCCCAACTTCCCCTTTCACGTAACCCTCCGTGGGGTAAATAGTTCAAGGTTACAAAATTTCTATACCTTTAGGGTTTAGGTGGCAAACCTGCAGACAAATCCACCGGGATGGCCATCCATGAAACAAGTTCATATTTGAGTACATTGCATCCCTAAAACACCAAAAGACCCCTAACCCTCTTCGTAAACTACGTTTTAAGCACCCTAAACTGGGATCGGAGATGAAGCTCTTAGGGTTTTAGTTTTTAGGGCTTAAAGTCTCAGGGTTTCGGCTGTAGCCTTTGGGGTTGCAGTCCAGGAAAATGATTTCATCATGCACCGCATGGCCTTGAAGTAACGCGGGGCCGTATGAATATGGTAGAATCAAATGGGAAGAAGTTGGAAAACAAAAAGAAAAGGTTGCCTTTTCTAGGGGTTCATAAAGATTATGGGATTCGGAAACTAGGCGAATTACAACAAAACTCTGGGCACATCAAGCCGTATAGTTAAATGAGCATTGAATAGTATTAGCTAGTCATGGTGCTAGCTGTCCTAAAAAGAATACTATACAGCAGGCACAAAAACAGGACTTTCTGGGAAGACTACGTACCCTCAACGTCAAAGTCTTCAACCCCCGCTGCCTCAGGATTTCCCAAGGATGCGCACGGTATCGCGAAACGATTTGGAGTTTGGGATTTCAAGTAGAGGTTTGGGGCTTAGGGTTGTGAGCGTGCATGGCCGATATTAAAATCAAGTTTTTTAGCCCTTTTTTTCAGCAAACGACGAGCTTCCAAAAGCAAACTTCATCCTTGTAAAACAAAATGCCCACGGGTTCCCTGGCCACCCCCAACTACACTAACTTCGAAGTTCCCTTAGCCAGAGTACCTTTAAATACTCTTTACATGAGTGAACCTAGCGCGGGTAGTGTAGGGAAACGGGCCAGAGATGCCTTTGTCATCTCAAAGGTAATCTACATTTAGATCTTATGTTAGGCTTACACCCAGTAAAAATCATAATAGAGAACCATGGTAGGATTTTTTCCAATCTAAGTCCGAGAAACCGAACACATAAATGGGGGTTTCTCAAAATTAGGGGTACCATTTTGGGGATCCCCATAAGAAGGACTATACTATTCTGGGGTCAATTTGGGGTTACCCTATTTTGGGAAACTACCAAATCCTGAACGCCACCCAACAGTCCTGTTTGCCACGGGCTCCAGAGCATGGAAACCGGCCTCTCAGACATTTGTCATGGTGCAGGGTTCTTCCTTGAGCTAGCAAAACCCAAGGCAGAACAACACCCAGCCAAAGTCTATGCGCCACGCGCGACAGAAAGGTTTGTTGCGTTTTAATTTGGGCATGCCGTACACATAAGGGCAAAAAACTCAAAGTTCCTTAAATCCCTATGTTCCCCCAATTACCATTTCTTTTTCCATTTTCTTTTCACTTAATTTAAGTTCCTTAAAGACCCCATTATAGTAGTTTCCATTTTACTTTCCATCATCCCAATATAACCCCAATATACTATAGTAGTTTCCATTTTCTTCTCCATTATCCCAAAGTAACTTAATTTAAGTTCCTTAACAGCAATGATAAGACCAATCTTGTCACCCTTTCACTAGGATCCTCCTTTTGGGTATAATCTTACTAGGTTCAACCACCAAAAAACACTACTCACTTGGGGCTTAGGGTTTAGGGTTTAGGGTTTTTGCACCGTTGCCCCTACAAGTTCTTGCCTCAGGCAATCATCCTCGCCCCAAGGCTCAAATGTCAAACCGCAAGACCCTAGACCCTCACCCGTAGACCTTGCAACCTGAGGCATTGGGATAATGGAAAAGAAAATGGAAGCTACTATAGTATATTGGGGTCATATTGGGATAATGGAAAAGAAGATGGAAGCTACTATAGTATATTGGGGTTATAATGGGGTTGAGGAACTTAAAAGAAGTTAGTATATTATCCCCCTATAATGGAGAATCAAATGGAAAAGAAAATGGAAAATGAAATGGAAACTGGGGGAATATAGGGATTGGATTTCAAGTTTGCGGCTTGGGGCTTTCCCGAAACCCTAAGCCAAAGGGTCAAAGGCCAAGCTAAAACCTTTGGCAACACACATCCGCAGAAGAGAGGGGCCATTGCAAGCTGTGAAGCCTCCATAACTGGAGGGTTTGGGGTGTAGGGTTTAGGGTTTAGGGCTTTTGAACCGGAATAGGAGTTTCGAACTGATCTTTAATCTAGGGATTGCAATTTAATCTAGGGATTGCAAGAGTCAAAACTTCCGGTCAACGTAGTTCCATGTCGCAGACCTGGTCCCCGTCGTAAGAAACAACCGGGAAAATGTGGCCATGCTTTAACATTCACAGATCGTAATCCCCTTCCCCTAATATTAACCGCCCCCCCGCCCCCCCCCACCATTAAATACCCCAATTGTTGTTTACAATTTTATACTGGGAACTTTTAAGCGGGGCGGGGGGGTTAATATCAGGGGGCTGGTGACTAAATCGTTTTTGGAATGCCGGGATGCGAAATGCGCTCATTAGAAAATTTGACATGAGCCATAGTCCAAACTCCTGGTATCCCTCCTAATAAACTCTATAGCATTCCCCTATATAAACCCTAAACACCTAAATCCCTGACATAACCCCTTGTGGGAATTTAGGTCATGCTAAAAATTGAAGTTGCAATCCTGAGGATCCCTGTTGGTGGGCCACTTTTTTGGGGCATCCCCATAATAAGGACTCTGGTATAAGGTTTAGGGTTTCTGGTTTAGGATATTGGGTTTAGGGTTTAGGGTTTAGGTAGGGTTTAGGGTTTCTGGTTTAGGGTATTGGGTCCCTCTATTTTCGTGAAGCGTTTTTCCGAGTGTGGGCAGTGTGTGCGTGTGTGCCCCACCCCGGGTTTCTGTTTCTCTCTCTCTCTCTCTCTCGCCCTCTCTATCCCTCTCAGTCTGTCTTTCTCTCTCTCTCTCTCTCCCTCTCTCTCTCTCTCTGTCTCTCTCTCTCCCTCTCTTCCTCTCTCCCTTTCTCTCCCTCTCGCTCTCTCTCTCTCTCTCTCTCTCTCCAGTCAAACCGCTGTGTCCAATTATGTCCCGATATTTGATCATCACAGTGATCGGCTGTGATCCAACATACGGTTGACAGAGGAAATTTTACACCGCCCAAGCCTCATAAGTCCTAGGTTGCAGTACTGCTATATGGGACCCTATGGTGCGAGATAACCTCCATCAACAGTACCGAACTCCATGCGGCGTTTCTCTCAACCCAACCCCAAGAACACAACAGAACTTGTTGCAGGGACCCTGAAAGACTGTGGTTCCGATTTCGAACACGCAGGAGATGTTGGAAAACTGCTGGCCTAGAAGCAAGAAATATCACAAAAGAGAGAGAGAGAGAGAGAAGAAAAAAACAAAAATGGCAAAGGCCTTCACACGGGCGTGCTGAAGCTTATCTACGGCCCATCCTTCAATTCCCTCAAATACTGGAAAACCCACATCAAAAATAATTGAGCAAGAAGTAAATTATTCAGTGCTGTCATGGTGCAAACTTCTCATTGACTGCTAGGGCAGGCAGGCGCCAAACTGTATTTTGTTTTGATGTAAGAGGGTTTTGGGGACTGGGGTATGAACTGCTGGCTTGCTTTAAAAGCAACTCGCATGATTTCATGATTATGGTAGTTAGGGAACCCCCTGACTTACCATATATCCGCATTATGATAACCTGACGTAACTTCCTGAAAAACATCCAAGAATAGTGCGAAAGTGTAGTGTTTGGACTTGCGACCTGGCATAGTGGAGAAGTTAGCCAATGACCAGAAAGCACTGATGCCACCTGCCCCCTGATCCTGCTTCAGTCACTTTATGACTTGGCTGGCATGTTCCGAAACATTAATGTTATATATATATATACTGTAAGGACCACGGGATATTACCTTGCTATAACTTGGCTGTTCCCTGACTATATAGGTTGGGAAAGCATTGGATGTTCTGGGGTTATCATGCTCACCACGAGCCTCTTCTTTTCAATATGGCTTGTGCACTTTACGAATACTCGAGATGCTGGCCTTGAACACACAATTTCAGGACTTTGGGAGGCTATAAAGGGTTATTTAGGAATACACAGGGGCACATATTTAGAATAAAACGGAACAGAACACGGAAAATGAAATGGAAACTAGGATTGCATAGTGGATTCTGGGGATAAATTCTGGAGATGAGGTTTCCATGATTCAGGGCATGTTACAAGGATTACCAAATATTGGGGTCTATGTCGGGCCCCATGCATTTTAAAAAATGAAGCCGGCCCTCGTGGAAAGGGGTATGTGCACATTACAAATCCTGTGACCTCGTGAGGCAAAAGGAAAAATCTCCGACATATCCCCAGCTAAATCGCCCTAAGCCTAAACCCGAACCCCTCTCAAGAAACCACGATCCGGAGCCACCTCGCTGGCCACATGCCAGTGCACCAAGCCGGTCATCATGGTGTTGAGGGTGGCACCAATGGTGATACGGACCAGGCCATCAACGCTCCGGAAGCTGTCCACAAGGTTCAGGAAGTTCACGAACCGAGTCCGAACTGACATCAGGGTTACATACTTAAAGCTTTAAGCCGAGCGGCTCCGATTTAAGGATAGAACATGTGGGAAAGAAGAACTGGTGCAATCCGCGACACCTACATGCCTCGCAGCCCTAAACCCTAAACCTGTCCATCCAGCCCGTTTGCATCTCTGCTGTACATCCACAAGATATGCTTCCGCAGCTTCTACATGGTGAGCATCGGGTTTTAGGCTTAAGGCTTTGGACTGTTACAGGGCGAGCTTTGAAAGTTCTGCATACCTTACATCTAAAAAAGGACAGCAAGTTCTACTCCCACAGACCCAGTCCCTTTCTTAAACCCTAGACCCTACACTTCCGCAAACCCCCGCAGACCAGCCCGACAAAAAAAGGGGTTAGAGATAATGGAAAAGAAAATGGAAACTACTATATAGTATATTGGGGCTAGATAGGGATAATGGAAAAGAAAATGGAAACTACTATATAGTATTTTGGGGCTAGATAGGGATAATGGAAAAGAAAATGGAAACTACTGTATAGTATGTTGGGGTTAGATAGGGATAATGGAAAAGAAAATGGAAACTACTGTATAGTATGTTGGGGTTAGATAGGGATAACTGAAAAGAAAATTGAAACTACTAAACAAGGGAGTCGAAGATTTCAGACCCGCCCGTCTGCCTGCTTCGTATGTACCTTCCTCACGTGCACAGATCGCGTGGAGGCAGGCAAGGAAAAAAGGAACGCCCAAAGCTGTGCATCGATACCTTGCGGGTTTAGGGTTTAGGGTTCAGGGTTGTGTCTGAAGCCCAATAGTAATCAACAAGAATTCTGACTCAAATGAAATAAGAAATCGACACTGGAACTATACCTGTACATACATACATACATACATACATACACACATACAAACACTGACGGTTTAGGATTCAGGCTGCCCGTGGGGAATTAAGAAACAGGACTACCCCGCAAACCAGACGCATCAAACTACTAAAAGGAATCCCTATACTGTAAAACTTTTATAGAAATCCAGCATCCATTTCAGGTCCATGGTCTTTTCAACTTGATTCTCCATTATTGGGATACTACACAACACTAAACCTTAAACTCTAAACCCTTAAGCCCTCAACCGTAATCCCACATGATCTAACGGGGCACTGAAAGAGGCTAACCAAGAGTGGAGCCAACCAGCCAAACGAGACAGCCTGGGCGTGCAGGCTGTCGTGCTGTGGGTCCGGTGTAGGGTTTGGGCTTTAGGGCTAAGAGCGTGGTCAACGAGAAATGGAAGAAAGACGGGAAGTACCGTGTTCATCTAGAGTTCAGGCGGCAGAGGGCAGGAAAAGGAAAATGGGAACTACGACATTGTTTAGGGTTGGGGCTAAGGAAGTGGGTCCTGTGATTCAACTTATGGTGCTATGAGCTATAGTCTAAACTCCTAGTATCCCCCTTAATAACCCCTATAGTAGTCCCTTATATATTTCCCTATATAACCCCCCTTTAAGGAGTTTAGACTATGGCTCATAATCCCTATAAACCCCTACATAACTCCAGTTTCCATTTCATTTTCCATTTTCTTTTCCATTTGATTCTCCATTATAGCTCATATACAAACGATTAGAATCAGGTCTCGGGTGCCATATACTACAAGGATATACATTTATCACACCGAAGTCCTCAGCAAGCATTCTTGAGCCTTCCAAAAGCTCCCCTGAGTACCGCAAGAACACACCAAAGCTAACAACTTGGTAGCTTTCATTTCCTTCTTCCATTCTAAACTCTGAACCTTAAACCCTAATGTACTTTCTCTTCTCTTTTCCGTTCCATCATGCCCTGCGGGCTCTTCTTGGCGTTCCATGATAATTTGGGGGAATGGTATTCTTGAGATCCGTCCCGAACCACACAATTCTAGCGGTTGGGCATCAAGGGGTTTAGGGACCGCTGCTTAAGGTTTACTGGGTTTACGATTTGGAGTTTAGGGCTCGAGCATTGAGTGAAGCACGATGTCAAACAAGGAGACATGTGCGAAAGTTGGCGTTCGAAACAGCGATGCCTCTTGTTTCAAACTACGCGTCATGTCTCGTGCACAACAAGTCTTCGTGTGGGGATGCAGATAAGCGAGACACCAGGGATCTAGATGCAAGCTGCCTGGAGCAGCGCCAAAAAGAAAACAATTCTCATTTTGGTGGCTCTCTATTGGGTGCATGTCTTGAAACTATGCCTCTTGTAAAGGGCAAATCCAAGCAAGACTGGGATCTATGAGATTATGCTGGGAAGATGCCGGTCGCTTACTGAAGGTTTACGGCGGAAATTTTGAGAAACTCGTATGTGGGTGGTTGTCAAAATTATGGTCCCTTTTTGGATCCCGATTATACTACCGCACCTCATAGGGTACCCGAACAGGACCATAATTTTGACAACCACCCACTGGATTTATGCTTAATTTACAACTTACATCCAACAATCATCCACTTTTGCTTGCAATCCAACGCCAAGGGGCCAGGCGGTACTTTTCCTCCATACTGTCCCTGTGGGAATCGGCGAGTCTTGAAGAAAATGCGAACTACAACCCTAAATCCCAAGCGCCAAAACCCTAAACGGTGGTCGTAGGGTCAGGGAAACTTAGTAAGTATACCTATAACCCCTAAAAGCCACGCGATAGCCCCAGTTATCCCATTTATTAAGCTACTTATTAAGTCCCTTTGACCCTCCACGTGTCATATACAGGGGATGCAATGAGACCTACACTAAACCCTAGAGAGCTTAGCGCGCCAAAAACGCAGCCGCTAGAAGAAAACACGATGGGGCTTCAACAATGCAGCCGCGCAATCCGAGTTTAGAGTTTGGGAGCTAAGGCCAGAGTTTAGGGTATAGGGTCTGGGGTTTACGGCTCAGGTTTAGGGTTTAAGCCTAAAAAGGGAGACAACAGTACAAACCCATAAGCTTTTCTGACGGGCCATCTACGCGCTGGAAGGGTAGGGTTATGGGGTTTAGGGCTTGCGGAGAGAAAAAACCACGTGGAAACTACTATATCTTCTAGAGTTGAAGGTTTCTTCAAACGGATTTGCAAGGGCTACTGCGGATACTAAAAACTCCTGCGTAACTTTACTATACTATAATGCCATAACCCCCAAAGTTTAGGGTACTTAGAGTCATGCAGGACTTAACCTAAACCCTAAACCCTCTACCCTCTAGGCCCTTGCTGTATAGAAAGAGCCAGAGGGAAAGCCAGGCTTTGAACTGGTGCCAAAAAAAACGCTTCTTTCACAGTCTGACGCATGTCCACCACTTCACCAAAACAAATCAAAAACCACAGGACGGAAACCCAATAATGAGCCATGTCTGCTCAATTGAAGTCAAGTTGGAGGTAGGTTCTAGTACGTTTAAACAAGGAACCCTTACCTTGAGCCCCAAAATCACGCAAACCCCACGGACCTCTCATGCAAACCCTCACAACATGTCCCGTTTAGGGTTTCGGGTTTGGGTAAGGCCACCACCCACTATATAAAAGTCCATAACCACCGTGGTTTTATTGAGAGCTGTGTATCGTGAGACTACCTACAGTAGTAAATGTAATTACTGTTTTTATGTTATGAATATGTCCCAACTGTTACTGAACGGCGGCAGTATCCAAGACCTTAAACCATAAACCCTAAGGCCTAAACCCTAAACAGACATGAACCCCTTACCCCAATTCCCTATATGAATCCTATATAGCCCCTGTATATTCCCTATATAACCCCAAGGAGTCGTCTGGATACCCACACTTGGCCTATGGGGGAGAGTCGGGCTGCCTAGTTGGCAATGATACGGTTTAGGACTGAAGGCTTTGGATTGAGGATGTGGGTTTAGGATGTAGGGTTAGGATTGAGGATTTGGGGTTAAGGAATTAAGGTTGAGGGTTTGAAGTTAAAATTCTAGAAAAACACAGGTGCTCGAGGTAACCTATACTGCCATTACAAAATCATCAGTAAGGGACCCTATTGTGTTTGGTAATTCGCCGAAGCTATCCAGCCTCGAACCCTCTTAAACCCCCCTTTGCAGAACTTTTTAATTTTGGGTGGCCTAGTCCACCCAGGTTTGAGGCTTTCGCAGCACGCAGCAACCTCTCCCCCCACCTCCCCGCCTTTCCCCTCCTCCCCCCCTCCCCTACTTCACCCCACTCCTGCTGCTATGTGGTGGGTCCTTCTGGCCCTGTGTATGTCGACCGCCTTCTTCTATGGTCAGGAAAAATTCAGGATCGGGAGTAGCGGCGAATTGCGCTCGGGGACTTACAGTTTCCGACCCAAGAACGCAGCCCAGGCCATTTACGGCTGCGGCTCTCCAAACTTGCGAACTCCCTCACCAAGGCTGATGGACTAAGCCCACCCAACCCCCTCCATGAATGCTGGAACAGGCATGCAAACACGTCTGAAGTGAGGCTTGCCTCGTTACTCCCTCGACCCTAAACCCCACGTGTCAAATACATGCCATGACCTATTCGTGTGCTCCGCGCCCGTCCGGCCGAGGCGGGCACGCGATAGCGTTTATAATTGTTCAGGCTTCCACACTATACTGGTACATTAATCTTGCATCCTAGGTTTCCTATTGATGGTTCATAGCAAGTGGAGAAACGGATCCCATACTAGCTCTTTCTTTCTTATTCCCGCTGGACCTTAGAAAATACATCATGGGGATAACTGGGGTCACTATATTCCGTATAGGTGTATCAGAAAACTTGCTAAATCCCTTGACCCTCGAAGCACTGGACCGTAGACGCTCAACCCTAACCCTGAGACCCAAAACCCATACATCCCACATAGCCCCCACAACCTCTGTAAAGGAACCCTAAAATCCCTATAACCCTCAGACCTTAACACAAAACCCCCAAACGCCCAGCCTGCTTGCTGCCACCAGAAGTCCCATCGATGATATGGCCACGGCCTTCCAACCTACCAGGTTCCTCAGCAACGAACAGAATTGCAAATGCCATGAAGGAAATAGATGGAGGTATGGGATGGCATGAGGATGGTAAACCCTCAACCCTAAACAAACCCTAAACCGTAAAGCCTAGTGACAATCTTGGGACTGCATGGGTCATATGGGAACCGCTAGGATCCGGTGTAGATTTCCGGCCTCAAGGTTTCAACTTGAGGCAGGTTCTCAGGCTGTAGATTGTGGGAGTTGAGTAGCAGTGACTTGAATAACCAAACGAATACTAAGAGTGATACTGATGAGAAAACTATTACTAACACTATCTATCAGTCATAGGCATACTTAGAAGTAATAGTATCAGAAACAGTAATGAAATAACAGTAATAGTAGGAACCAGCCTCATGTTCGGCCGGGAAAAAACTCCTCTTTTTCAAGAAAATCGGCCCTCTTTGCCTTGCAAAACTCCATGTGAGCCATAGTCTGAACTCCGAGTAACTATCCCCCTTTAATAACCCCTATAAGCCCCCTTTAAGGAAGATAGACCACAGCTCATATCAAGCGGTTCCCAGCTCTTCCTAAGCATTGCCGGATACGCGTCTCGTCCTGACAGAGTTTAGGGTTTAGGGTTTAGGGAAGTGGGGGAGAAATGTTCAGGATTACCAAACCCCCAAGCCCCCAACCTAATCCCTAAACCATCCACAAACGCGAGCCCTTCGGAGTATATGAGTTGCAGTTGCTGATCCTGAAATGCAATTTAGTTTGACAATTTCATGCGTTTTTGGGCGGCGTGAGCAATGTTGGCGTTTCAGCTTTCGGCACAAAGATTTTGCCGCACATATCATCCCCCGCTGGCCAATGTTTTGCGCATGTCACGAGTATATGACAAATTTCGAAATTAATGGTCTGGACCCCCAAGGGCCCTTCAGCCTTACATGCCTTGTTCTTCCCAATCCAAAAATGACACTTTGAGTTTATCGAAAGTCCGGGTTCATGAGCATTCCAAAATCGTGCATGGGCTTTAAACCACCCAATTTCGCCACACACACAAATCGCTGTTTCAGCCCACGGCCGAACGTTAGGCGTGTACCGAGTAGTACTGGCGATCATAGTATTGACAAGAACCCTAAGAGTAAGCATGAGAGTAATACCGAATTAACCACGATCGTAAAAAAAGAAGCACAAGCAGTTCAACTCCAAACGAGAAATGTAAAAAAAGTCGGAGCATTCTAGGAGTGAGTTCTGCTTGCAGCATGGAGACTCCCGGACTGTCAACGGTTTAGGGTTCAGGGGTGTGCGGTTTAGGGTTTAGGGTTTGGGGTTCCCGCTGACCCCCCCCCTCCTGTAATAAATGCACACCAGAATACCAATATACACATGTATGTATAACTTATAGTACATATATACATATATGTTGTATTGAAAGGGAATATTCGTCTTTAGGGGGTGGGGGGATTAAGGTGTAGGGGGAGGTGATGTTCACGTCGCCATGCGTATCAAGAAAGCACCTATCAAATTATTGCAACACCCATGTGCCCCTCCTCCTCATGAAACCCATGATTCAACTCACGAACTCGGAGCGTTGTGGAGTCTAATGTTCGTGTCTGCTCAGCCGCGCGCACGTGAAGTCTTGAATAACGGCTTGTGTGAACATCGGTCTCAAACTAGTTCCGAATCCAGTGCCCAAGCGTTTTCTAAGTTCGCCTTCCTGGGCAGCCTCTTCATGCTCTTCGGGCTCTTGTGCACTGTCACGAGCCCTAGCCCCAAGTGCCAGAATCAGGGATTTGGTGCTTTTTTTTGGGCCTCAGAACCTTCAGAGCTTTCCTCACAGTAAGCTTGCGGATGGTAGTTGTCAAAAGTATCTATCCCCAAATTACCATAAGGATGGTTCTCTTTTTGGTCAGAGTCTCCCCTTACGGAAGCCTACTACCAGTGGTCCGTCATAAAGAACGACGTGTAGCACAAGCTTTCGAGTTGAGGGCTTGGGTCAGACCTTGCGAAAAGGCACCGCAAAGTAATCAAGTCATGGCCTGGGATTTACCACTCTGAGGTTAAGCTTCCTATCTTGCAGTGCCTGTTTCATAGGACATGTTCGCCAAGCTTCATGCCCGAACCGGATACCAAACTTCAAATGGGCAACCCCTGTCTATTTGGAAAGCCTAAACCATTGAAAACCCCTAAACACGCAGCCATGCCACACGCAGTGATGATAGAGAGCGTGCAGCAGGAGCGGGATCAGGGAGGGAAGACAGACATTGACGGAAAAAGAGATGATGTACACCGAGCACCTCTGCAAAGGTTTGGCCAAGGGAGCTTGGCAATGAAGATGTCTTTTGTATGGAAGTTTCTCAAACGGGGGGACCTTAGGGATATATAATATAAGAATTATGACAGGATTGTGGGTGTCCTTACTTGGGATTCACAGGATGATCACTGGGATTAGATAGTTGCTATATAGGCTATAGGCCCAGGCTTTCTGATTTCCAAATAGATATAATGGCGCTATACTGGCTTGCTAGGCAGACGGTTTTGGCTTAGGGTTTAGGATTAAGGGTTTAGAGTTTAGAGGTCATTTCCCAGCAATAAAGAGTGGCTCTATACTCATGGCTTCCCCTACTAGCCCCCGTGTATTACCCTTGCCCCAAGATTCCCCCCTGAGTTAAGGCTATTTTGGGAAAATTGGTGCTGATTGAAACGAATTCTACAGGGGAGGCCGGGGGTAGAAAATCCCCATGATATGTTTGGACCTAAACCCTGACCCCAAACCCTAAACCCAAAACCCCTTCTGAGTAGGGGGGTTGGTGATTCCTATCCAGGGGGGGGGGATTAAACCAATGAGCCTTGAACCAGAACCCTGATCACTCGCCCTAAAATCGAAACGGATGCGCGCGGTCTAGGGTTTAGGGTATCTAGGTTATTTACTACTGAGTATCACCTCCATTAACATTGCCACCACAATCCAGACTGACTTTCAATACTCTGCCTTACCCAACGCTTCATACACATTAAAGTTGAAGTCTGGAAACTTGTAGAATGAAGCGGATGCATGGAACGTCTCACAACGAGGACCCCTAAATCCTTTTCAATTTCTGTTTCGCCGCACATCTGGACACATGACCCTAAAAACAGACCCCGGGCTTTCTCCAGTGTAACCCGCGAACCCCCCATGGCTCTTCAAGCTACGCAGGAACCTTTAAGCGGAACCCATTGGCCGAGGTACTTCAGCGGTGTGAAGGCATTCGCCTGCAAAGAAAAAAGTTTACTTGGATTGGGATAATTGGAAAAGAAAATGAAACCTACTGTAGTATGATGGGGTATAATACGCACACACGGTTGAAAGGCGCGAGGGCCGAAAATAGTCAAAAGGCACACTTTCCAAAGCACTCCACAGCTGCGCTCGGTTGCGGAAATGGTCCCTCGGCTTCTGGAAAGTTGCTGTCGAGTTGCGCACACAAAGCGCTCGTACATGTTTGCAAAAACCCTCCCGAACGTTCCACCAAGCGCACATTTCAGAAAGAAACGCTCGATGGAACAAGGCATATCAAAACAAGCGTCAAGCACAAATTTGTGTTATATGTATACATGTCCTATTAGAATATAGTAGTTTCCACTTTCTTTTCCATTATGCCTATATATGGCTGGTAATCAAAATTATGGTCCCTTTTTGGGTCCCTATTATAATACGGCCCCTAATATTTAGGGTACCCAAAAAGGGACCATAATTTTGACAACCACCTATATAACATATTATAGTATAATACCTAATGGGTCCTCCAGGATGCCTTCGTTTTGGGGGTCCCTTAAAGAGGACCCCAATAATGCAGAATCCAATGGAAAAGAAACTGGAAAGTGAAATAGAAACTAGGAAATATACGGGGGATATACAGGGGTTATGTAGGGATTATTTATGGTTTAGAAGGGTTATATAGGGATGATTGAAAAGAACATGGAAAATGAAATGGAAACTAGGATTATATAGGGGTTAATAGGGTTTCTATGAATGGTAACATAGGGATGTGGCTTATATGGGCTTTAAAGCTTCGTCACAAAAGTTCATACGTTGAATATGGAGGTTATATAAGGACATAATAATAAATACAGTGTGGAGGACCACATGGAAAATCGCGTGGGACATTAGTTGGAAACTGAGGATTAGAGTTCTAAACCCTTAACACCTGAACCCCCACCGCCTGACCCATGACCCCTGAACCATAAACTGGCAATGCTGCAGTCCCACTCACAATGGCGAATTTAAGTTCCCAAATACTGTTTTAAAGCGATTATGCAGGGGATGCACGGGTTTACGCTTTCGCCTCTAGGGCTCTCGGGATATCACCCCCCAAGAATGGAAAACCACATAGAGAAGAACATGGAAGATCAAACAGAAACTGGCTTCTACGCTTTAGAGCGATCGTATGATACTGGTGGCTGAGCGACAAACAACCTTCTGCTGCATCAGGGAGAATGGGGGAATCAATATAGGTCCTAGGTACCATTATTGGAATATGCATGAGGTTTACATAAGGATTATTATAGGGATCCACTCCCCCAGCCTCCCTTAGGCACCAGTGAGACAATGTCGGTTTGAGGTCTGCTTGTGCTATACTGTATACCACAACTCTGCAAGCAATTTAGGACAAAACCCTGTACAGGCTTGGCATGAGGGTAAAATCTGAATTTAGCACCACGTAGAGCAAACTGACAGGGCCCCAGGTTTCAAGGCATACATAGCCGTCGTAACCCCAATAAGGGATAAGCTTGTGTGGTTCAGGATTTAGCCTTTAGGGTTTAGGGTTTATAGAGGGTATTACCCCCAGTAATGGAAAATCAAATGGGAAAGAGCTTGGAAAATGAAATGGAAGCTACTAGCTAGGGTTTGAGGCTTTGGGGAAAATCGAGTGGAAAACAACATCAAAAATGAAATCCAAACGCTGTGTCCCTTCAATGGGGTAGATGCCAGTGCGTAAGCCCGCAATCCCCTACAGGGCCCTGCACATCCTAAACCGTAAACATTACGCCCTAGACCCTGAA